GATTAGACATAAGTGGCCGAAACTGATAAAGTTTTGATGGAGGTGCACCGAAACTTTCAAACAAAGCATCACACATGATGGAATTTAAATTCTGCTCCTCCCCTCGGCAATTTCCATGCGGCAAGTTGTGATATGCACTGCATGATAGTTAGCTTATCCGATGAAGAATTCGCTTACATGCAAATAACCGAAAAAGTTTTATTTACGTTTTGGTAAAAAGACATTGAATAATTATAATATATGTTTGTTTAAATGTGCAGTTCACAAGGACATAAAAAACATCGAACATATATAATGAATGATAACGGACAGAAGGTGACTATCGCAGTATCGGAGTATTTGTTACACGTGAAAAAATATATTTATCTGCCCGTCCACCACATCTGCGCGAATTCCAAAGCCTTTTATCCACAGGCAAACTATTAGATATCCGCTCCAAGGTTAATTCAATTAATACCAGGGCATTTTTTAAGAATTCGTCAGTGGGGGGCCATCTACAAAAAGGGACCATACTATACCGAGTGTGGAGCAATGATAGATGGTTTGTTGGTAACAAAAGGTTTGGTGTGGTATCGCATTTAATAGTAGGGGGGGGGGGAGAGCAGGGCCTTAGGAAGCTCTTTTCGTTTGGGGGGGGGCGGCTGAAAGCGAGGGCCGAAGGCCCGAGGAAATTTTTAAATTTAGAGTCTCTGAAATGCCATTTCCTGGACTTTGGGGAAGATTTGACAGATTTCTGATTGTCAGAATACAGCGTTTTTAGTATGTGGAAATTTAGAATTCAGTAGTACTAAATGGACGAAGGTGTATTTAATTAACAATATATTGGATAAGTTGCAGGAAAGTGTGGTAATATCTTCATTCTTTGCAGTTTGTCATGGATTAAATAATAAAGGTCTGCATGATTTTAAAAAATGAATGATTATCAGCAAATTATTGGGCTGGGGGGCTGCAGCCCCCCAGCCCCCCACCCCGGGCGCGGTTGCTACGGCCCTGGAGAGGGTCTGGGGTTTTCTCCCCCAGAAAATTTTTGTATTTTTCTACCCCTATGACTGCAATTCCCTGCATTTTCTGAAACAGATTTTTGGATATACAGCATTACATTATGCTGTAGATAGACTGAACCTGCAGTTAAGTACTTGCATAGTATGTTTATGTAGATACCACAACTTGGCAGTCACTTAGGGAGCCAGCTTGATAAACTTAGAGTTCCCGACTCCCACGAAGCGCCACCATGGATGGCACAGAGTGGAAAAATTTTGAAAATTTTGCGTCTCTAAATCATCGGAAATGGCATTTTCAAAGTCTTCTATACGTCTTTTGTTTGGCCCTTTCATTAATTCGTTCATTATGATTTGTGAGTGTATGATCGATATCCGCGAGTCAGGATGGATTATTACGAGAAATGTTATCAAAATATCGATTACAGATATTTGATTATATGTATGATTTCAAATACTTCTAGTTTCGAAATCAAATTGTTTTTTTTTGGTGGGGGCCAAAATTATCCGCCCCCCCCCTTATAAAACACATGGTTGAGGGCCTGTTGCCCCTTGCGGTCACTAACTTGTCCAACAACTCAAACTCTATAGGGTCTGGGAAATGCAATCCACTGCCTGGGAAATGTTTAAAATCTAATAATTAAGGTATTTATTAAACATAAAAGACAGGACATAAGATTCACAAAGCAAATTTCAGTTACTAGAATATCAAACCTCCCTTCTAAACTCAATGTTTTGCTTATATTTTAGAGAAAAGGGACTTTGACTGGGGGGGCCAAAATGGTTGAGTGGGGGGGCCACCATGGGGGCTGGGGGGGCTTTGGCCCCCCCAGTTATATAATTAAAAAATGCCCTGATTATACTGTCTTAATTTAATAAAGTGCCTATGAATAAGAAATTTCACCAAATGTTTATGATTGTAAAGATCACTTAAAATGACTTAATAATTTTTTATAAATTTTGGTAACTTGAGCCCTTCGCAAGATATTCAACTTTGTTTCATATACAAATATCACCGGTGTGATCACATCGCATAATAGGGAGTTTACGATCTACGACGCGGCCGGCTCGACGACGCGCTTTCAAAACAAAGAAATTTGGTGTTTCCACAAACAATAGTATTGTGTGTTTTATCGCCGTGCAAACCTACAAAGAACTTACAAATAAATTTGTCATGCAGGACAAAAACTGTCAATAATTTGTGGTCCCATGAGTATTGTCAACCGCGTTGTCATTCTCAACACAACGTTAAAAAAGCATTTTTACGTCTTTCAGGCAACGCGAAAGCTTAATGCGCCACAAGAGGTGTTACTAAAAGTCGAAATTACAGCAAACACTGCATCGCTTTAGCCGAACGTAGCATTTTGTAAGGTTATTTGAAAGAGTCAAATATTTAATACAGTAATCGAATTGCTTAGCGCTCATTCTTGAGCTAAAATTTAGACCGCGTCGTTGAGCCGGCCGCGTCGCAGATCGTAAACTCCCTAATGACTTTTTCAAAACGCAATACTTTACCTTTGATAAAATATTTTTACAAACAAATACAGAGGGTTAATTACCGGTTGTGAAATTAATACATATACAAGGGCAATTTTTAAGTATTTTAAATACGTATTCGTCAAGAAAACTATACTTTTCTGAAAACTCATTATGCGATGACTGCGATGTGATGTCACACCGGTGATATTCGCATATGAAACAAAGTTGAATATCTTGCGACGGGAGCAAATTACCAAAATTATATAAAAGAAGTTATTATAAGTCATTTTAAGTGATCTTTAGACTTTACAATACAACCATAAACATTTGGGGTGACATTTCGTGTCATAGGCACTTTAAACAATTCACATAGCCACCAAGAACCTCTCAAAAACGTTTTCTTTACAACATACAGATGTTCTCATTATTTTTAGACTTTTACTCAACTCAAAATATCTAATAATTATATGGAAGAGTGCCATGTCGTTCGGAAAGATATGCTAATTATTTATCAGGTACTTGTCTACTTGAGAAGGGACCGCGTGCAAGTAAAGATAAAGCGCTTCTACTTTCATCAAATATCACAAGCAATGATGTGTGACCATCTGATAATCACATACCATAACTTCTAACTCTGAGAACCAACTGATAGCTATAGCTTTGAAACTGATACGGGATTACACAACAGCACGTATACTTATTAAGTACTTATTAACGTCATCTAGATCCAAAATAATAAAATCAGGGCCTTCTAAGAAATTTATCAATGGGGAGGGGAGGGGGGCCATGAAGAAAAAGAGATCTACACTATCATCTAGATCATCTACACTAAAGAAATTTTCCGGACAAAAACTTTTTGATTCTCCCCCTGTCGACAACTTTTTCGTAGCACTTTTTCCGAACTAGCACTCGGCGGACCTGCGTATATGCAGATATGCTTGACCACGAAAATTCCGACAACATTACCAATTTTCCGACGGGCCTCAACAACAGGGGGGCTTCCCCCCCCCCTGGCTCCCCGGCACGGCGCCACTGAAATTCGCGGGAATTAGAGAAACTGAGCAAGTACGTAAAAATGAAAAGGAACAGAAATCAGGAGTAACTGGGTGATCGTATGGAGTATAGCTCGATCTGCACTTTTTGAGATGCATTGGCAACACGCAATTTATGGTAATGTAAATGCATAGGTACTATAGCCTGTTGATTACGACTTGCGTTGTGCTGGTCGGGAATGTTTTATCATCCAATAGGTATCTTCAGATAACCGCTTCAGTATAGCTAGAATGCAACCTACTGTAGTTAGCATTCACTTTACTGCTTTAGTGAACGAACTTCCAAAGCAAACCAGAAAAAATATACAGTATATATATATATATATATATATATATATATATATATATATATATATATATATATATATATATATATATATATATATATATATATATACAAACAAACCATTTCGTATTTTTGAACCTTCTGCGCTTAATTTACTACTGCACTTTTTAAATTAAACACAACTTTTTATATATTTAACCTATACAGACGACGCTTTCAGTATAAAAACCGGCAGGGTTAGTTATTAAGGGAATATAAAAACGCAAATTAGAATTCAGTCGCTTGCTATAAACAGTTTGCTAGTAAAGTTTCGGTGCCATTATAAACAGATATAGTCTTTATTTTAAACAGTAACTTCGCGTAAAGAATGAAAAGGGGGCTATTCGTATATAATAGTATGTGGTTCAATAGCTTTGCAAATGGTTTATATTATTACCGCATCACAATCAGCAATGGCATGAGGTCGAGGCTGGCTGAAATCGCATCGTTGCTCGACGGGATACATTGCATTTATCTAAACAACGTGATCAGCCAATCACGTTTAGTTTAAACACTTGACTATAGCTACATAACAAAATAACTTCTTCTTCCATTTTATGTACAGCATAGAAACAAGGAATCATATACAAAGTGACACAAACCTTGTTGAAAACGCAGCGCCACTGTTTTTTTAATTACAGTCCTGTAACGAAGCAACGACAACAAATGAACTCAGCGTCTGTGGACGTCTGATAGACGAAGGAAGATGCAATTGAAAAGTTTTAGATTAAAATAGACGTGTCTTGAATATGCAGTGCTTAGTACTGAATCCGAGCGCAACTCCAAGTGTAAAGCCCTGCAGTGTTAGTGACAACGCAAGTGGGAGTGAAAACGCAAGTGAGACTTCGTCGTTGGATTAATCAATAAAGCTTGTGACAAAAAAAGTTCAAATTAGCGGTGTGCATTCCAAAGAGATATATCGATATTTTAAAAGAAAATTCGCGTAAAGAATGAAAAGGGGGCTATTCGTATATAATAGTATGTGGTTCAATAGCTTTGCAAATGGTTTATATTATTACCGCATCACAATCAGCAATGGCATGAGGTCGAGGCTGGCTGAAATCGCATCGTTGCTCGACGGGATACATTGCATTTATCTAAACAACGTGATCAGCCAATCACGTTTAGTTTAAACACTTGACTATAGCTACATAACAAAATAACTTCTTCTTCCATTTTATGTACAGCATAGAAACAAGGAATCATATACAAAGTGACACAAACCTTGTTGAAAACGCAGCGCCACTGTTTTTTTAATTACAGTCCTGTAACGAAGCAACGGTGACAACAAATGAACTCAGCGTCTGTGGACGTCTGATAGACGAAGGAAGATGCAATTGAAAAGTTTTAGATTAAAATAGACGTGTCTTGAATATGCAGTGGCTTAGTACTGAATCCGCCCAGCGCAACTCCAACTGTGTAGCCTACTGTATGTGCCTCTGCGGAGTGACAACGCAAGTGGGAGTGCAGATGCAAGTGATACTTGGTTGTTGGATTTAATCAATTAAAGCCTTGTGACAAAAAAAGTTCAAATTAGCGGTCGAGTGCATTCCAAAGAGTGATCTATCGATGATACCTTTGAAAGAAAATTCCGACGTGATAAGAGTGCTTATTCCCTTTATATCCTATTATAAGGAGACAGCGATGTAAAACGCTCATAGAAGCAGTGACATGTTAAAGTATAGGATTGGGAAATAGGTTCTGGAAATAGTGGATAGATCCAAGTTCAAGATCAAAAACGTAGATCCAAGGGTTGAAAACTCTTATCAATCAGTCTGATCATAAGGAAACAACGCCATGCACTTAAGAAAGTTTATTTTGAGTATTACCTGACAATAACGATCTACAGTAAGACTTATATGTCAGCCAAAATGGATCATTCTTATCTTCTTCTAGGCAAGTAGTAACATAATTTAATTCCAGATTCTCTGACGTGGTGGGCAATTTAACTATAATGATTTGGTGCATTTAAAAGAAACTCTAAATAATAACATGCATGCAAGCAATTAAAGACAGATTTGACATGCCCTTTGAATCAGTCATGGGTGAAAAGAGAAAAATACACATATTAATTAGTGGCTGAATAGTTTAAAACCTAGTTTGTCAACGATACCAAAACGTTGACATCATATGGAAATTGAAAATGTAATCCCCGAGCCGACGGCGCGAAGCGCCGTGCGAGGGTACTAATTCCCCCCGGCTATTTACACCCGGGGAAACGAAAGCATTAGCGGAGTCTAAAGTTCATCAATTATCGCGGGCGCTCACCAACGGTGTTGAGTGGGTGGTCATCACTGATCTCAGAATATGGCTGTTTCCCAGGAGTGAAGAAGGCAAAAATATAAAAAAATACATGTAAGAAAGCTTGGAAAATCGTTTCACATAACAAATTGTACAACTTTTTTGCAATTTTTAAACGTAAACATTGATAAGAATTGATATTGTATTATAAATCCTAAAGTATACGGCAAGTTTGTTTCAAATATATATATCCGAGCTCATTTTCGCTGGCTACGCCACTGATAGAGATTATGTATGGGATTAAATAATATACAGAGGATTAATATCCATATAGATACAGAGATATTGATATATAAATAGGTCATAGTCGGGCACCCTGTGCCTTCAGTCGTGGAGGCAAAATGCCCTGGAGATGATCATGAGTTTGGCAAATAGCATAAAATCTTTGCAATTTTACAACGAAGATTTTTTTAAGGAAAAAAGGTCGTCAAGTTTATATTAGCCAGATTAAGGTTAGATCAAGGATAGAAGTCAGAATCGGGATTAGTTTAGGGTTAAGGTTAGAGTCAGGATTAGTTTAGAGTAAGGTTCAGTTAATTTCGTTATGTATCCGAGACCTATTTTTACCACATATATGCATTAATTATGTTTTACCGTACTTCAATACGCTTATACGCTAATTACGGGCATATCGACTATCGCGTGGTTAAAGATACCACTTGCAGTGGATCTATCCCTAATTCAAGACCACGGCTAACCTTGCGAACCTTTCAAATAGCTAAGTAAGGTATTCCAGTCCAGTAATTGTTTGAGGATATACTGTTTGCTAGCATGTAATATGGTTAACGCAGATATTTAAAAAATATAAACCTGATTGGATAATAAAATTATAGGGCGAGGGGGGTGAATAGAGGTATACAAATCCGCTGATCCGCCCAAATTTGAAGCAAAATCCGTGATCCGACAATGGTCTTGTCTAAATTTGAATTCGCTAAAAGCTCTACTATGAAGTCACAATCCAGGATCCGAACTAAATTGCAAGCTAAATCCACAATCCGAGCCAATGTTAGATAACAAATCCGCAGGGGCGAAACTTGAGGGGGGTATGGGGGGGGGTGACACCCCCCAAAGTACGAATCATCTGGATTGGCAGGACGAATCATCTGGATTGGCAGGGAAATCAAAGATTTTAAATGATAGAATGTAGAGTTATTAAGTAACTTACAGGGCTTCCAGAGGGAATTGGATAGAATTTATAGACCTAAATTTTACAGATATTGGTCCAAAATTAAGGGTTTCACCCATGTTTGTCCGGAAACAATTTTGTGACTCTTAATTTAACTGGTTCATGTTCGGAAAAATTTTTTCGACCCTTTTTATGAATGCCCAGAAAAATTTTTTTTCAGCCTTCTTTCCCCCCGCTCGCCAACATTTTTGGGAAAAAGAATGGCCAAAAAAAATTTCCTGTAGGGCATCATCGGCTTTCGCAGGGCAATTCTAGCAGACACCCCCTAATTAAAAGGGACTAGTTTCGCCCCTGTAAATCCGCAACCCGCTGTATTAATAAGATCCGCAAATCCGTGTAAAATATTCGCCAGATCCGAAATCCGACAATTTTTTCTGCGAAATCCGACGATCCGAAAACCTATTAACCCCCCCCTCCCTTATAGAATTCCATTTAACTGCTACACTATCAAATTTGAAACCGCGGGGTACACAAACATGTACAGTATCTCCTGATTAACAAAGCTGTCACTGACAAACTGCCTTGAAAAACGGTCGTATCGTACAGTAGTTTATTGGAAAAAGTAATTTATTATATAGATACTGATATTTACGCACGGTTTTATTAATGTGAAAAGCCCTTTCAAAATTAACGTCAACCAAGCAGAAACGCGAAACGATTATTTCACACGTGCGAAAAACGTTTCGTCCAATCAGCACTAGCCCGTGTTTACGTACGAGCGAATTCGTTCACTGTCGTGTTTTCGGCAGAATTTTATTTAGTTTGCTGCCTTTTTCTTGCTGTTTAAAGTCAAATTTAATTTGAATTGGACAATTTAACTCGTATGTTTGCAAAAGATTTATAACACTAAAAAAGACAAATATGAATCTATTTTTTGAAAGGGAATACGAAAGACACAAAAAATATCATCATGATGCCAGTTGCCACGAAAACAACAGCGATGTATTAAAGTTGCATTAATAAGTATATTTAGTTTTTGAAACGAATTATTAATATTTTTCCCTTATTTAAACGAAAAAATATTGTAATGAGATCTTGTCTAAAAGTACACACGAGTGACCACGAATGACCACGAGTGACCACGAATGACCACGAGTAACCACGAGTGATCACGAGTAATTTCTGTGTTTAAAAATCATGAAATAATAATAAAAACTATTTTAAGGTTTTTGCATTACACAGCACTATAGTATCCAGAAAACGCCTGTTTCTTCACCTTACATAACATGAAGACGAAATTTATTGGACACATTGACAATGCTCTCCTGAACATTGCAATGCGCTACTTTTGTGCTGAAAGTCCGTTACCATGGCAACAGCGTGCTTAGCATAAGGCTCAAAATTTGTCTTTTTTCGGCCATTTTATGAAAATCCCTTCGGGAATTTTGTTTTAGTTTTTCGACTATTGTACACGTCAGTCTACAGGAACATAGCAAAGCATCTGAAGTTGGGGGGGGGGGGGGGGGTGTTGCCGGAGGATTTTACCTGAAATTTGAATTTTTAATAAATATTTACCTAAAGTGTAACAATTATAATAAAGCTTCTTGTGATTGACTTGCACTGTCATATTAAGTTTCGGGAGAAAACGGGCGTTTGGGAGTCCTCCCCCAGAAAATCGTTCCATTTTTAAAGCTCTAGGATTGCAGTTCTAGCGTTTTCTAAAGCAAATTCGCAAACAAATTGGATGTAAATTGACTGTATATTTTACAAAAATGGTTATCATTTCACACAAACAATTACTTTATTACGCAAATTTTAACTGAAAATCAAATCAAAATTTTAACTGGAATTTTACCGGACTTTTGTCTGAGTTTCACAGTTGGGGGGGGGGGGGGGGGGGGGGGGTTACACGTCACATCTCGCAAAAAATGCCAAAAATTAAACCTAAATTTCACCCTTTTCCTTCGGTAAATTGTTTTAAAACTTTGCACATTTCTTAATATCGGCTAAACAAGGTCAATATCCTTTTTTCTTAAAATTTTATTGCAGGGAATAATCTAAGTAACGTTCCATAGAATTTTTTAAAATTGAAAAAAAAAATCATTATACGAGAAAGATCTTTTATGCAAATTTTTAATTTTTTAAAACGGCCGGAAAAAGACAAATTTTGAGCTTAATTATCCTAAGCGCACTGTCACCATGGTAACGGACTTTCAGCGCAAAAGTAGTAAATTGCAATGTTCAGGAAAGCATTGTCAATATGTGTCCAATAAATTTCGTCTTCGTGCCATATAAAGTGAAGAGAGAGGAGTTTTCTGGATGCAAAAGTGTAGTATAATGCAAAAGCCCCATGGAGCCACCTTAAAATAGTTTTTTATTATTATTTTATGACTTTTAAACACAGAAATCACTCGTGGTCACTCGTGGCCATTCGTGATCACTCGTGGTCACTCGTCTCGTGAGTACTTTTAGACAAGACCCCAAAATGAAGTTTTGTTTGCACTTTGCAGTGCTTTATCTTGGCTTTGCATGGCCTTTGCCTTTTGAATGAACCAAATTACGTTAAATAAAGGCAATCCATTAAATGGAAAATATCAGTATCTATAAAATAAACAAATTTAGTAATGGGAAGTGCTTTTGAGTTTTGTATTGTATTTTCGCACTTGTTAATTTGTTTTCGCAAAACTCACTCGCTCGTTGCACTCGCTCGTTAATTCGTTTTGTGAAAACAAATTAACGCTGCGAAAATACCATACATCAGCACTTCCCATTAAGAAATCTCTATATTAATATTAAAAACATAGCCCTTGCAATACAAGTTATACAATGAATGATCTGAAGTCGGTTAATCAAGCGATCGGTTTTGAAACGATGAAGAATAGAGATAAACTGAAAAAGAATATAGCAAGGTTCGGGAAAATGTTAATTATATAAATGCTCGGCAAAAACTCGCGGTACGAAGAGGAGCTTCAAGAGTGACTGTATTTGTTGTATATTTCATACAGCCGCCATCTTTAATCACCTACG